TAACAAACTTGTGGCACCCTACAAAATTAATTTTGTCACAATATTTGAATTTCTAACTTCGCTATGATAATTTGAAAAGTATAGATATTCGGTACAACAGGAAAGAACTGCAGAATACACTTTCATACAGATATTTTTAATATTAAATGTTGTCCATCAGTGGTGATAATCAGTAGGCTAATTTCTAATGAAGAGACCAATTTATATGACAGATTTTAATGTAGGCTTTTATACATATGTAAACATTATTTAATTACCATTATAACTAGCTATCTCACACATTTTTGCTCACTCAGTGTTTTTTTTATTTTACAGTGGGGTAATTTTGGTGCAGTAGCACAAGATAGCTTGATTTCAAACTTTGAATTGAATAAAAAAATGACAAGTAACCAGTCAGTAATAAAATAAGAACAAATAAAGAAATTATTAATGATAGCACAAATAAAAAATAACTACAGGCCTTCTAATAATTTTTTTTTTTACCAATTATCCAAATAATGTTTAGTCCTAGAAAGCTATTATTATCAGAACACGTGAGCATAAATAGCGGTTAGCAGATCGATGAATTAGTGGCCAGCGTTACCAGAGTTGCCCATACACCTTGTTACAACACAGTAGGGCTATTGCAGACAGAACCAATACTGTACTACATCGATGTTTCCTGTCGGCTCAATTTTTGAGTGGACTTTGCTGTTCTGATGAGCATGAACGGTATACGAGTGGAGCGACTGAGCAGAGCGCACACGCATAGAGCGGGATAATACGCAGAGCGTCACACCACGTGAAAGTGAAACCTGAGCGGTGAACTAATTTTCGGCAGCCGAAATTTCAGTGCATCTCTAATTATTGGCGACATCAGAAATGGATATTATAAAATAGATGCTTTTTTTGAACATTTTAGCAATTTAAAAATATTAAAAAAGGACGGAAGAAAATGTGAAAGAAGAAAAAGACAAATATTTTTTACACGGCACCTCTGCTCTCGACAGATGGCACCCCGGTTGGGAAACGCTGATCTAATATATATAAACACATTTTAGTAAATAATATTTAAATATAATAAGTATTATATTATATGTTACAAATACAGTATATTTTTATAAATATGTTAGTAGTAGTAGTATGCTCATTTTGTTGCTCTCCAGGTAAAATGTGTACAATAAAGTATATAATAGCACACTTGTACTCATGTTTGACCTGACCTATATCAACCACCCAGTACACACTAGGAAGGATGTGTATTTTGCACAGCCAAGCACCACTCACATTTTCTTCCAATTTGGTTGTTCAATGCTAGTCATTAACTAATAGTGATTAATTTTCAGACTAAAATGAGCCTATAATGATGTGTTTTCTTCCTTTCTGTCCTCTCCAGGTGCTACTCATTGGCAAATCCATCAACTTCCTGCATCAGGTATGCCACGACAGGACGCCGCCGGGAAAGATCATGCCCGCCTCCAAATCCACCGACTCTCCCAAAGATGGTAAGCTAGCGCTAATGCAGTCACTTAAAATCGCTGTGTTTATGCTGTCTAATGTGATATTTGTGGCCATAATGGCAGCTAATAGTTAAATAACCTGCTGAAAGCGAGGGATGGAGAAAGAGAAGGAGAGAGAAGGATTGATCTGTTGTGGAGGAAAGTGCTGTTTTTGACTGCCTGTCTGTGGTGTAGTTGTCCATATCGACGCTGGCTGTATTTAACTTCTTTGCTAGCATGGCTAATCAATGCTCTTAGGCTCTAGCATACATCTCTGTCCTTCAGTGTGTTTCTAGAAGGTTCTTTATTTTCTGGTGTTTTGTCCTTCTCTTTCGTTCTCTGTGTTGACTTTGTGTTTTACTTTTTCTGGCCTTAAAGCTGTTTGGTCTTTACATGTATATCCTTTGTGTAACCTTGCAAAAACCATGTATACCGTAATTTTGTAATACTTTTGTAACACAGTCATTTAGCTATAGTTTATAACTTGTTTTACTGTTTTTCAAGTTTTCTTTGAATCTAAGCTTAGTTTTAGTTGGTTTCAGTGGTTTTAAAAGTTAAAGTTTTTGTCACTTAAGTGATTCTTTAACACTAGTGTAATTTACACATAAAATGAGTCAAATCTTTTTCATTTATGTATACAAAAATCACAGCTAAAAGAAATATTTTGCTGCTTGGTGGATGGAAAACAGGATGCTGAACGCTTGTTGGCAACAAAAATATTTCAGTTTCACAAATTCTGTTATTTTATTTTAGTTAGTTTTTCAACCACTCTTTTTAGTTTCATTTCATTCATCACCCCCCATTTTGTTTGTTTGTTTATAAGTTTTGTCTTTATTCTGTTTTTTAGTATATTGTAAATTTCTGGTAATGTTTGCCAAAAGGATTTACCAAAATTGTTTATTTTTATTTTAAGTCTTTCTTCTCATCTTTCCTCTTTTTCTTAATTTACCACTTTTATTTCCTTTTTTTTCTCTCTCTCATGTTTGTACTTTTATTTAAAACACTGTGTATCTCTTTCTCAGCGGTAGAGTTGTTCACTGATCTGGAAGGGGCCTTTCAGAGTAATATTGATGCTGCATATTTTGAGACCAGTAAGTATCTGTTGGATGTGTTGAATAAGAACTACCAGCTGCTGGAGCATCTTCAGGCCATGAGGAGATACCTGCTGCTGGGCCAGGGAGATTTCATCCGACACCTCATGGACCTCCTCAAGTAAGTTTGTGTGTGTGCTCATGGGTGACCTGTCATTAAAGCATAGACGTCTCTGTTTTAGCTTGATGCGAGTGTGCTTGATTTCATTGTTGATTTATAACTGATCTTTCTCTTTTCTTCGACTCCTCGATCTCTCTTTATCTCTTGCTCTCTCTCAGGCCAGAGTTGGTGAGGGCTGCCACCACTCTTTACCAACACAATCTAACCGGTATCCTGGAGACCGCTGTCAGGGCAACCAATGCCCAGTTTGACAGTCCTGAGATACTGAAGAGGCTTGACGTCCGGCTATTGGAGGTACGTAGTAGGGACTGATTCAAAAAAACAAACAAACGAAATGCAGGCTGATGGTACATTCCAGTACATAATTGTGCATCACTGAATGTGGGTCTGGTGTCCTCTTTTGTCCAGGTTTCTCCAGGGGACACTGGATGGCATGTCTTCAGTTTGGACTATCATGTAGAGGGGCCCATTGCCACGGTAAATAAACTCTTTTGGCATAAGCCCAAAGTTAACTTTGCTTATCCAAGTTCCGTCCTTTCACTCTGACATTGTGCGTGATGTATTTTTCCTCATCAGCACAGGGCGCTGAAGTCCACACTCACGTCTGCATGCAGCATGATTTTCCTGATCACTTAAAGTTAGTCTTTACTGTTGGCCCATAATGCATTTGGGTTTTGACCTGGGAGAGATTTAAAACATTAAACACTAAATAAATAAAAAATATTGCATAGTTTTAGCATTCTAGTCTTGGTCTGGGTCTTGGAACCAGACCCTCCAAGTAGGTCTGGGTAGTATATCGAGTTTGTACGATATATCAACATATATTTTTATAAGCGATATGGTATATCGCAATATGGTTTATATTGATATACAGTAGTTTGATACGAGTGCATCTAAATAATAGCAGTACACATAGAGTGAGCTGCTGCGGGAAAAGTGCATAATCCAATTTGTCCTAAACGTGAGACATGCTTTATATTAAGGGCTTTAAAATAACTCCTAACATATAGTTAACATGTATAGTTTAAAGCAGCTCAGCCCGTCAGATGCTCTGACAGACTCGTGTGCTGCTGACAGATAGGCTACTCGCACTGTTTAATGTGTTCGAGATGTGCTGGTTTCCTCGGTGCATAACTTACATTTCACAGGTATATTCTCCATCTGTAAACATTAGAAAGTCATGGAAATATTTCCATTTTGCTGTCAGGATCCTTTTGCATGCAATTTTCTGCTACACTTCGCAGACTTGCGAAGTGAATGAGCACCACCGCACGCATGCGCGCAAAACGGAGCGCAATAGAATAGGAGCACAATAATTGTCATATGTAGAATTTTAAACCTACAAGTACGTGTATTTTATAATAGCAGATAGCAGTAATGGGGTAATCAAAAATAAAATGCAATTAATAAACTGTGCTCTTGTTTATTTACTTAAATTTTTAGTTTAGTGAATTTGAACTTCTGCTTTACTGTAATGTTACAATGTTAGAATGTAATGTGAATTTAGCCCGTTTTTTGCACATAATGCATAGCATAGCATACTTTATGTATATATATATATATATATATATATATATATATATATATATATAATTCCAAATAGAAATTGTAGATAATGCCAAGATATATATACTGTATATCGCATTTCAGACAAAAAAACAGAGATATTACTTTTTTTGGGCCATATCGTCCAGCCCTACCTCCAAGACTAGACCACTTGAGACTTAGATCCAGACCAATACTTATCCCTGAGACCCATACCAAGGGCTGTCCAAGAACCAACTAGTAAATTTCAGTGAGCCACGTTGCTGAATTGACTTTTGATTTTTCATATATTATGATGTTGTGATGCCTAAATCACTTGTAGTCTTTAAAATGATTGATTTTAGTTTTTAGTGTTTTATTTCTAATTTATTTAGACAAAATGGGCAGCATTTTAATATCAGGCATTAATCGGTTATTGGCCATGACATTTAAAATAATGATCAGCTTTTCAAAATGGGCCAGAATGCTAATATCAGTGCATCCCTAACCACAGTGTATGTCATACCTGTGTCAGGTGTTCACCCGTGAATGCATGAGCCACTACCTGCGAGTGTTCAACTTCCTGTGGAGGGCTAAAAGAATGGAGTACATCCTCACAGATATATGGAAGGGTCAAATGTGTAATGCCAAACTGCTGAAGAGCATGCCGGGTGAGTGCTGTTTTCATTCTGTTAGATGTTATAAAACCAACTTAATCTGTTTGCCAGATCTACCTTTCTCAGCAGACAGATGAGATGTGTGCTGTGTATTTGCGCAGAGCTCTCTGGTGTGCTGCACCAATGTCACGTTCTCGCTTCCGAGATGGTTCACTTCATCCATCAGATGCAGTATTACATCACATTTGAGGTACGTCCTTCTGTATGTTTGTCTTTTTCCTGTTTCTCCTTCCAACATTTGAGACATATTATTTATCATATTGTTTTTGTGTCACTGTAGGTGTTGGAATGCTCTTGGGATGAGCTGTGGAATAAGGTCCAGCAGGCTCAGGATCTGGATCACATTATAGCAGCTCATGACGTTTTCCTGGACTCCATCATTTCTCGCTGCCTGCTGGATGTGAACAACAGGGTACGATGCACTTACACAGGGTAATTGTGTACCGGTGGTGGTCCCTCGTACTTGTCCTCATTTCTGTAACTCTGTTGTCCTCTGTGTGTGTTTGCAGTCTCTGTTGAATCAGTTGCGCGCAGTGTTTGATCAGATCATTGAGTTCCAGAATGCTCAGGACACACTGTACCGCTCCGCGCTAGAAGAGCTGCAGCTACGCATCCAATTTGAGGACAAGAAGAGACAGAGAGAAGAAATGGTATGTACAGACAGTCAATCAAATCAGTGCTTTTCCACACATTTAATGTAAGTTGAATAGGTAATGATATTACAGTCATTGTGCTTTCATCCTGTATACCGTATGCAGTCCAAAAAAAAACAATTGGCACATTTTGACAAGTGAAATCAGAACATTTATCAGCTAGTTAGTGGCCATAAAACATATTTGTTTGTTATATGTATTTTTTCCACTTGAGAATGGGATTATTTAAAATGGGAACTGTTTATTCCTTGCAAACCTGTGACAAACAAGCATAGCATCATTATTACGTGCAGCATCACCAAAATATGATCTTCATATCTCTACTTTTTAAAACCTCCAGAATGTCTTGCCCCACAGAGTTTCTACTTCCAGTGTAATACTGTAGACAAATATTGCTTATAACTGATGGAGGATTACTTTTTAAAAGAAAATTGAAAATGTATCACCATTTCCACAAAAATATTAAGCAGCACAACAGTTTTCATTGGTAATAATGCCATTGATAATAATAAAACATGTTTCTTGAGCAGCAAATCAGCATATCAGATTGATTTCTGATGGATCATGTGACACTGGAGTAATCAAAGCTGAAAATTCTGTTTTTCATCACAGGAGTAAATTACATTTTAAAATATATTTAAACAGAAACAGTTTCTTTAAATTGTAATATTTGACAATATTACTGTTTTTACTGCATTTGATAAAATTAATGCAGCTTGGTGAGCATAAGGGGTTTAAAAAACATTTGTAAAAAATTTACCAAATCCATATGCTCCAAAACAAAGATGGCCATTGATATAACCTGAACTTCAAAGAAGGCAAGACTTCTTTAAGCCAGAACATTCCAAATGGTTAAGTCACGTGTTCATTGTGTCAATCACTGTAAAGGCGTCTGATAATCTCCATGCAAAGAGAATTATGTTCCACTCCTTTATTTGAGTCTGGAAAGTGGCCAGTAGCAAAGGTATAGGCCAAAACAAGAGTGGCTGATCCTTTTATGGGGACGGTGTTGGTTTTCTATCGTCATTGATTTTTTTTTCTTTCTTCTGTAAACAAGTGTGTGTGTGTGTGTCTTTTTCTGTGCTTGTTTATAGCTCTGTTTCTGTGTGTTTCAGGGTGAGTGGGGTGTAACAGCAGAGCAGGAGGCTGAGGAAAACAGACGTGTGCAGGAGTTTAAAGACACCATACCAAAAATGTGCTCTCAGCTCAGATTACTCACACATTTCTATCAGGTACCCTACATACCCTTTCATACACTTTAATATGCTCGCCCAATAAACCAAATATCACTTCATGCATGCATGAAAAGTGCTGAACCAGCAGGGATCAGCGTGAGAGAACATGCTTAATGGTGTATAGTAGAGCATTTTATGCTGATCCACACATTACGTGTGCTACAACACTTAATGTGAATTTTTTACAATTACAGCAGAATGTGGTTTATACTTACCACATATTGTACTTGTTAATACTAGATAATAATGTAGAATGGACATTGATCGATCATGTTTATATGAACATAATTTTCTGATTAAAGCCCATATTCTGGTTAAACCCTTTATTATGGAAAGACATTTATTTGCTTTAGAGCTATTTGAATATTATTGTAATATAAATGTAATCAGTATATTTTGAATAAACTAAGACATGCTCCTAGTTTTCTCACTATAATCTTGTGGAAATACTGGAGATATTAAACGCATAATTGGAATATGTCCAAATTTCATTATTAGAATTGTCATGTAAACGTTTGTCTCTTTTCAGTATACTAATGTCTTGACGATTATTGATAATTATTTTGGTTATGACCGATATTATCAGTGTTTATCATCAATTTGCATGCTTGGAGGTTTTAAAAAATTATATGTATTATATATAATGTTATATAATTCATTATATATATATATATATATATATAATGAATATAATGTTTTATATTAATTTATAATGTAATTAAAAGAAAAAGATTAAGCATTAAAAGAAGAAAAATTCAAAAGAAAAACCTTTTGAAATCTGACAGTCATAGTTTAAAAATTGTACTGTATATTAAAATAATGTTTTTGAAAACTTTGACACAAAACCTGACAAAAAATGTTTTGCTACTTGAAATAAGTCCTGATATGATCTGCTTTCAATACGAACCAATACTGATAATTTTCAACCTGCTAATGTTGTTCAATAACGATTAGAGTCATCTATATACCACTAAAACTATTTAAATTATATTTATTTATTTAGGGACAATTCACAGTATATGTACTGTAACATTATTAGCTTAAAGATACATTTCATCCGTTGTCCCTGGGTGGCAGCTACAATACCAAGAGATAGAAACATGTGAACTCAGTGTAAGAGTCTAGTAAGCTCAACGTTGTGTATAAACAAGCATCTGAAGCTCATATAACCCTGAGATGGTTCTTTCTCTTCTCCTTTAGGGCATAGTGCAGGAGTTTCTGCGGCTGCTAATGACGGATGAGAGTCTTCAGTTCCTCAGTTTCCGTCTGGACTTCAATGAGCACTACAAGGCTCGTGATCCGCGCCTGCGGCCCTCGCTAGGGGCCACTAGAGGGAGACGAAGCTCTAACATCTGACCTTGCAGACTTTGGGAAAGTTAATGTTATGTGGTTGCTGTCAAGAGACTGTTTATTAATAGGGCTACTCAGAACTTTTCTGGCGCTCTGTAAGAAACTCATATAACAGGGAAACTGTTTATAGAATATCCTATTTCACTGATGAATATAATGTTTTATATTAATTTATAATGTAATTAAAAGAAAAAGATTAAGCATTAAAAGAAGAAAAATTCAAAAGAAAAACCTTTTGAAATCTGACAGTCATAGTTTAAAAATTGTACTGTATATTAAAACAGATGAATAAATGTTTTTGAAAACTTTGACACAAAACCTGACAAAAAATGTTTTGCTACTTGAAATAAGTCCTGATATGATCTGCTTTCAATACGAACCAATACTGATCATTTTCAACCTGCTAATGTTGTTCAATAACGATTAGAGTCATCTATATACCACTAAAACTATTTAAATTATATTTATTTATTTAGGGACAATTCACAGTATATGTACTGTAACATTATTAGCTTAAAGATACATTTCATCCGTTGTCCCTGGGTGGCAGCTACAATACCAAGAGATAGAAACATGTGAACTCAGTGTAAGAGTCTAGTAAGCTCAACGTTGTGTATAAACAAGCATCTGAAGCTCATATAACCCTGAGATGGTTCTTTCTCTTCTCCTTTAGGGCATAGTGCAGGAGTTTCTGCGGCTGCTAATGACGGATGAGAGTCTTCAGTTCCTCAGTTTCCGTCTGGACTTCAATGAGCACTACAAGGCTCGTGATCCGCGCCTGCGGCCCTCGCTAGGGGCCACTAGAGGGAGACGAAGCTCTAACATCTGACCTTGCAGACTTTGGGAAAGTTAATGTTATGTGGTTGCTGTCAAGAGACTGTTTATTAATAGGGCTACTCAGAACTTTTCTGGCGCTCTGTAAGAAACTCATATAACAGGGAAACTGTTTATAGAATATCCTATTTCACTGTCATCGCCAAATAATTTCAGTCACACACAATCGACTATCTAGTAATTTTACAGTGTAATTGTCAGTAGCATAAGGTCACAGGTCTGTTGTGTTTTTCCCCCTTCAGTTAATATGTGAATATTAGTTTTTGTGTTGTTTTTGTAAAGAATTGTGTTAGTGTTTACATTTTTGGTAATATTTAAGTCTATTTGTTATTTACATTGATTGATTTTCTTCTAGTGCCCTTTCTTTTTTCATTTTGAAGCGAGTTTGTTTGCCTTAATGTCTCCTGATGTTGAAAAAAAAGACACATCTGGCTGTGACAGTCAATTTCTCTGTTGCTTTTGTGGCATCCTCTGGTTCTGGATCAGTGTTGAAGGAACCTTTTGCCTCTTTTGAGTCCATTTTCATTATTACATATATATTTTTGTTGTTAAGTTTGTAATTATACAGGCTGTGATCTTTGTACTGCGTGTAAAAAAAAACTTAAATGTCAACCAGTTCTTTAATTTATATGAATGGACCTGTTAAATTACATGCACTTAAATGAACTACATGACCTCTGTAAGATCTTGTAAACTCACCTCATTTCGTACATGCAAAATCAATTACCCACAATGCTGTGTGATCTTATCGAGCCTCAGGTTGATACTGTGAGGACAAAGTTACTATTCTGAAGTATTGGATTATTATGGGCAAGATTATAGATTACTGTTGTAGTGTTTATCCCTTGTCTTTCCCATGTTCATGAAATGTATTGATGGAAATGGCTTGGTAAAGCTGGTGAAAATTTGTCTCGCCCTCCTCCCCAGTAGTGCACACTTTTGTGGTGAAGATGAAAATTGACTGATACGTTTTTTTTGTCCTTGGATTCAATGGAAAAGACAGCGAGGTGCCACTGCAATTTTTTTTTTTTATCGATTTTTTAATGCGTCGCAGAGATTTGAGGGTGAAGCAGAGTAAAATGATTGTCCATTAAAGGGTTTGAACTCCTTCACTGTATAGCACACGTGTACAAAAGCAGAGTTCAAAATGAGCAAACATCCTGTCATTCTTTTCTCGAACAAATAAACCTTTTTATATAAAATAAAAATGTGGTCACTTTCCTTTTGGTTTTAAAGGTACATTCAAAGTGATAGTATAAATAAAGACGTGGTTCATAATTAAAATGTGAGCAAGATATTTTATTACTAGGTTTTTAGACTTAATTTTAATATTGAAGATCGTTAACTATTGAACAACAGAATTGTGATATTTTACAGAAAGAGTTTGTTGCACTGATTTTATTGCCTTAAAATTACAGCTACAATAAAACTTATAACAGATAATTGTAATGAAAAGCTTGGTTAGTTGTAATGGATTGTACAGTAATTGTAAATTTATGTATAACTGATGTAAATTTGATTATTTAGTAATTTGCATATATTACAGTAATACAATCTCATGCATATGGTATTAAATTTTAGTTTATAGATGAGTTTGTGCGTGTGTGTGTGTGTGTGCATGTTTATGTGGTTTATGAGGACACAAATTTGTATAATAACATGGGTATGGCATAGGTATTACAAGGAGAAGGTGATTTATGAGGACATTTTCAGTGTCCCCGTAATTCAAAAGGCTTATAAATAATTCAGAATGAGTTTTTTTGAAAATCTAAAAATGCAGAAAGTTTCCTGTGAGGGGTAGGTTTAGGGGTAGGGTTGGTGTAGGGCAATAGAAAATATGGTTTGTACAGTATAAAAACCATTACGCCTATGGAGAGTCCCCATAAACCATAAAAACAAACCTGTGTGTGTGTGTGTGTGTGACAGAGAGAGAGTTCTACTAGACAGTAATATTTTGCTAGGATATTTGTAATGGGATATTTTCTATAATATATTATATAGATATTACCTCATGGTTTTCACCCAGAAATAATATTATTTGGGACCTACAGCGAGGTGGAAAAGCAGGTAAATATTTTTCATTTTCTTATTTTACACAAATTAGCCTATTTATTGAAAGAAAGAAAAATCAAAGAAATATGTCTATATGTATATATAGACAATATGTATATCTTTCATTCGTGAGAAATGTAAGTTTGTCAGTAAAATGCCACAAACAACCTACATTTGCAACCCTGTCGTTACCTATCCTGGTATCTACAGACAGACTGACTGATTAATCGATTGCAAGAAAACTCCCAAGATCACACAACAAATCATAATTTTAAACTGTTTTTAGGCAGCTAACGTTAACTTTTTTAGCTGATTATCTAGCCTCCTGTACGAAATAAACAGTGCTTAATTTATACGGCTCGCTGAAATACTTGATTTTTATTGTTTAATCGCTGAACTGCGTATCAAATATTTTTGTATAATAACTGTATGGACCGTTTTCCATAGCAACATACGAGCACTACTGTATTTTCAGGTCTATATTATCAACAACACAAGTTAAAATCCGAATGGCGCCATTTACTAATGAAGTAACGTGTATTGCAATTATACTATATTAATATTAATGCAGTATTCGTCTTGTTGCTAGTAACCTTGTAACGGAGTATTTTTCTTATCGGAAGCTTAAAGCTAATCTACAAGCAGTAGCCTAAGTGGCCGCGTCATAAAAGGTAGATCATATGCCGATTTATTAATTATGCAGTAATGACTTTACTGACGAGAGTTTGCTCTTTGTTTTGACTATCCTTTGTTCTCCTCTCCACGGAAACGCAGTCATGGCATCTTCTTGAAATTCTGCTTCTCGACCACAAGGTGTCGCCATGTTCAGAAAAACCCAGAGGATCTCGGGCTCCTCGCGAAGTGAACATAATACAGGTAATGCTAATGCACCACTAAACTCATCCACGGTTCTTTGAGCTACATCTGTGCAGTTGTTTGCTTTAACAGTAGGGAAAACATTAATCCATTTAATATTCATGAAAACATAATCACAACATACCCAAATCAAAAATAACGGATATACCCCAGAACGAACCCAAATGTCCTTTCTTGACCTTGACGGTGATGTATAAAGCACCAGTGATGCTCTGCCCTCAGATGTCTGCAGTGTGTCAGATGTGATTTCAGTGCAGTCATTTTCTCAGACTCTGTTCTAGCTGCTAAAGAGGATAATAAGTGGATATGACATCTCACATGCTGTTATGTATGAATGCTTAAGCACATGCATGTTTGTAGGTCATGTTCTGTTTTTGTGCAGTTTTCATAAATTGCTGTCATAGTACATATTAACATCACTCATGTGCATGCCTGAGAGTGTGAGTGTATGTGTGTCAGTGCGTTGCTGTCTCATCCTTGCCGCTTTGCTGAGGCACCTCTCTCTCTCTCTCTCTCTCTCTCTCTCTCTCTCTCTCTCTCTATTACTTTATATTATAAGAATGATTCCTGTTATCCTGTTAATTTTTTTTCTGACTGTTAGCACAAATCAAGAATGTTTCAACCTTGATCCACTGAGGCACTGAACAGAAAAACAAATTTACATTTGTAGCATGTAGGCCAGAAAATTCAATAGTGGGATGTAATTCAAGGAAAAGGGGTTCACTCGACTGCTGAACTGGATCGATTGATATTAACCATGAGAATGTACTGATCATTAACTGAGGACAAACAGTGACTTTAACCTCATGTGGTCTGATGTTAAAAGCCCTTTGACCTATGACTTGCATTTGACTTTACATACCGGTCTATATATCTATATATTGATTGATCCTTTATTAATTGTTACGTTGATGATGCATCTTCATTTAAGTGTTTGCCTGAATATTGCTGTTTATTTGCTATTTCTTTTTTAAAAAACTGCCTTTTGATTCATGAAATGATTTTATGTAGCATATTGTAGTTATGTAGGTTGATACAAATAATAAATAGGAATTCAAATAATTTATATTCAAAATAGCTCTCTCTCTCCCTCTCTCTCTCTCTCTCACACACACACACACTCTCTCTCTCTCTCTCTCTCTCTCTCTCTCTCTCTCTCTCTCTCTCCAGCATCTCTTGCGGCAGCAGCAGCAGCACTGGTTTGAGCAGCGAGACGGCTTCCTCTCTCCCCTCATCAGATTCCTTCTATCCTGAGCAGCATCACAGCGTGTCGCCGCTGCTCCTGGTTCTCTGTGTCCTGCTCATCATGATCCTGTGGGTGAAGATGGGAGAGGACTCTCTGGAGGAGCTCGTCAGACGACTTACTGTTATCATACATAAAATCGGTAGGAGGAGCTGTGAGTGTGTGTGTGTGTGTGTGTGTGTGTGTGTCAGTAGCATCAGTAGTATTGGGAGAAATATATGAGGACTGTAGCTCAAGGTTGTTTGCCGCTTCTGTTTGTCTTTGCTTTAGTAAACATTTGAGAATGTGTTGTGCTGATTTTACCTCTGAATAAATGAATCCTTCCAACCCATAAAACCACAACAGCTTTTATATTTAGACCTTTATTAAGTTTAGTAGTTCAGAATTGTTTCTGTTGATGACATCACTTATAAGTCTGAAATTGAATTCCATCTGAATTAGAACTTTCCCAACATTCTCAGATAAATAAATAAAAAAATTCAATTAGAATTTGAAATTGGTATTTTGAATGTAATTTTTTTAAATGAGAATTTAATTCAAATTTTTAGAAATCAAATTAAAAATACCAATTTATTTAAATATAGGCTGTTTTTAAAAGAATTAAAAGTGAAAATTAAAATTTTCAAAAGTTCTAACAGATGGAATTAAGTGAATTAGAACTTTTGATCTAGACATTGAATTTTGAATTAGAGTTTTACATTTGAAATTAGAAATAGAATGAAATTAGAATTAAGAAGTTATTTTTGAATTGCAATTAGACTTTTGACTTGTAGGTTCTCTTTCTCACTGTCTGTGGTGGGTAACCCTAGCTGTGTTTTTATGCTGTCTTCCTCCTCTCATTCTCTGAGGAGTTCTGAGAACATCTGAGCAGTCTGCCACTGGCAATGAGCTAAAAACACACACCAACACAATGAAACAGCAAACACGCAAAGTGTAGTAACATTCTTTCTCACATTCGGTCTTTCAGAAATATTATATGTCTGTAAATGGGTCATCCTTTAGTCAGGAGGTTTTGGCCTTTAGCGTTCTGGTGTATAAAGATACATGGTACTGTTTACACTGTGGTGAACTCACGCTCAACCTGTTCACATTCCCACACTCACTTATTTGCTGAAGTTCTACTAAAGGAGTTATCATTAATTTCTTCCCAGTAATGATATAGCTTGCAGAACTCAAGGTTGCATGAGCAGGCGTGCAGAATATTTATTTTATATTTCTGCCTATTAATCAGTATTTTTGTTTTAAACAAATTGAGCAATGACCCACAGTAAACAGAAATACTGTAAAATATTTGGAAGTATTAAAAATATTAAGCAGCACAACTGCTTTCAACATTTATAATAATAAAAAATGTTTCTTGAGCAGCAAATCAGCATATTAGGATGATTTCTGAAGGATCATGTGACAATTACGACTGGAGTAATGGCTGCTGAAAATTCAGCTTTACATCACAGGAATAAACTACATTTTAAAATATATTGAAATAGAAAACAGTTGTTTTAAATTGTAATATTTACTGTTACACAATATTACTGTTTTTAATGTATGTTTGATCAAATAAATGCAGCCTTGGTGAGCATAAGAATCATTAAAAAAAAATTAAAAATCAAACTTTTGAACGGTAGTGTATATTGAGCCTAATCAGACTCAAATATAAATGTGCATTTATATCAGATATAAATATGTGTGAATCATATACTGGAAATAAGCATCAGATGACCTGCTGTGGTTTTTAAAAGGAAAACCGAAAGAACCAGAGTTTATTGTGGGGATCAACTAAATGAAAACATTGGAATAACCATACTAAACTGTGCATTTATGAGAATCTAAAAATGCTGAACAATTTTTGTGAATTTAGTGGATTGTATTAGTTCAGTATTATTAGAAGTCAACTGAAAGTTCCCACCATCATAGAAAAAGAACCCAGCTGGCATGTGACTGACCTTCATTTTGGAAATGTTGCAATTATGTCAGCTGTTGTTTCAACGTTTTAAAAAATGGTTGTAAGAAGTTTGACAAAATACTTAGAAATCAACACAATCTTTTTTAAAATTAAGATTCAAAGTTTTAAAATCTTTAAAAAAAGTTAATTCTTTTTTAAAATCTGAAATAAACAAACAAATAAATAAACACGCTTTTTCAATTACCCATAAAAAAAAAGTTGAAATGCAGCCTGGGAATATGCGTGTGAGTTTGTGTGTGACTATGCTAGCAAATCTGTCCTCTATGTTGACCTTTGTCTCTCATACATGCTACATTTTGTGTCTGAAAAACTTCAAGCGGAACCTGCAAGTGTTTATTAGGTGTTAAAAACTCTGACTAGCCAAAGAGCTAATGCTGGCCTACAGCTGTCCGCTCATGCTCACAATCTCTTTCTGTCACACTTACACATGACATAACGTCTGCACTCATAATGTCGCCCATTGTGCAAATCTAGCTTATCACATCTCCCAGTGTAGAGACTGTTAGATTGATCACAGATCTAAGTCAGAGGTAATAATAAAGATAAATCTTTGATAAATGATAAATCCTGATAAATCTTTTACGACTGGTCTCATAAAAACTGCAGCTATCTGACCTTTAAAGGGATAGTTTCTCTAAAAATGAAAATTCTGTCATTGGACCCCACAGACTTTATGGAAAGAAACAAAGATATTTTTCAAAATATATTCTTTTGTGTTCTTTAGAAGAAAGAAAGTCATACAAGTTTGGAACGACATGGGGAGAGTACATTAATTTTCATTTTTGAATGAACTATCACACAGTTCAGTGACACGACTGAAGCAAATGCATCTTCTTCCATTGAAAGCAACATAGGCCTATATATTGCTAATAATTATAATAATCATTTGCTTGATAAAGCCAACATACTTAACTATTTAAGCTTTTTTTTTTTTTTTTTGACAAAATTTCTAACAGTATCTCGTCCTAGAATTTTTAAGCTATGACCACCAAACTCAGCACAGACCTTCGGGATGTTCTGACTCAGTATGCTAGAAACATGCTAGCAACGTGCTAAAACATGTTAGCAATGTGCTGAAATACCCTGTGTGCTAAGTCATGCTAGCAGTGTGGAAAAACTTGTTAAAAACATGCTACCAACACGATAAAACATGCGAAAACATGTCAGAAATATGCTAGCAATGTGTTATATGTTTTATAAAACGTGCTAGTAATGTGCTAAAACATGTTAGCAGTGTGTTAAAACATTAACGAAATGTATAAACAAAAAGTGTTAACAAAATGTTGTGCTAGTGATGGGATAACATGCTAACGACATGCTAAAACATGCTAGCAACCTGTTAAAAGCTAAAACATGCTAGAAAAATGCTAGCAGCATGTTATAATATTAAATGCTAATATTAAGAAATGCTAACAATTGGAAACATGCGATGCCTAGAAACGTGGTCTGATGTGGCTTCTTAGTAATCTTATGACGTGTATTATGTTTATACGTGGTCTGAAAAGGTTTATTGGAGACTGAACTCGTTTGATAAGGTTTCTTGGGGGTCTAATGAAGTCGAATGGGGTCTGAAGTGGTCTAATATGGTCTGTCTGAGATTATATTTGTTTTTCTTTCTTCATCTGACTTACTATCTGACACTAAAACCTTCAAATCTCAAGATTTCATACTTTCAGGACAGGCTTTGTCAAGTATGTCATCAAATTGTATCTATCAAGTTGTTTGATTTATAGTACTGTAGATGTTTTATCATTGACATTATGTTTGGAAGGTTCTAAAGAGCGTTGATGTCTCAGGCTCAGGATATCCAGTAGCGGAAGAGTATAATATAATACTGATACAAATGGCAAATTTGTCATGTGTTTTATGATAGTTTTATCTGCTTTTACCTCTATTTAGCACAGATTATAATACGGCTTTAAATACTGTACAGTGTCTGTGGGTTGCTGTGGTAACGGGTTCTGCGTCTTTCAAGAGGAGGCTGTTTTCTTCTGTAGGGTTGCTTCCACTGTGGTAATAGGATGAGAAATAGAGGGCTAAATTACTTGCTGGGAAGGCCTTTGCCCAAACCTTGGCTGGCAGTTTCTCTCTCTCTTCTTTTATCTGTTTTCTGAAGACGACAGTGCCAAGGGTGAAACAGAGAGAGATTCAGAGCAATAAGAGAAACAGAGAGTGACTGTGTGACAGAGAAAGAGAGAGACAGAACTTCTTTCAGATAACAAATAGCTGTGACCTGTCATATATTGTGTTAACTGTATATGTAAACTAGATTTTTATATTTTCATTTGAAAATATAAGCACTGCTTGACCTTGCAAAATGATGCGTTGTATGTACTAGGGCATTGCAAGGTCTAGCCAGGACAAATTAAGTCTTTGTGGAGCCATCCACATGCATATTCATTGGTCATATTTTTTAAAAGTGCATGATAATATAGTTGATGAAAGGGTGTATTTTATATATGGTCATCCAATTGCATATATGAATTATACAAACCCACTGAAAGAAGCATGCTACTTGCAGTCCCATGTATTATTTAGTGTGTGTATCCCTGCAGTCTGTGCTCTGATCTATTTGGGTAAATGTAGGTGACTGTAAAAGGTGTGCAGGTGGTCCATACTAACCCTAAGATGGCTTATCCTGTATCTGCATCTGACTCCTCATCAAACACACACACACACATATACATTGGTTTTTATATCATGGTAAAGACTTTTAGAAAGTTTGTTTATTCCCTAACTCTCTGCTTTTATGCATTTTTATATTTTCATACTAAATTATTTAATGTGTTTATCAAGCTGGTTTTTGGTACTTAAGAATGTTTTTTATTGAGCATATATTTTTTTTAGGATATTTAATCATATTCAACTCAGGAGGATATTGTAAAATGTCTGATTGAATTATTCTTAAAAAAAGGTTATAATTCATGTAAAGAGCGCTTGCTTCTGTTTAGAGAAAGTTAGTCAGTTTGACCCCTAAGTGGCGCACAAGAATGCTGGAGATTAGTGTCTATGATTGTGTGTTTGTGTGTGTGTGTGTGTGTGTGTAATTAGCAGAGCAGAAGGGGATTTGTGCTAAAACTCTCCCTCCCCTCTCTTCCACTCTTCTCCTCTCCTCTGCAAGAATACGTGTGTGTTTGTTGCGACAGCATGCATGAATGCCGGGGTTGTTTCTTTACAAACAGGAGGTCCGAGATGCGTCTGTATGCAGCCTCTCTCTGCGGGTCCCATCTGACAGAGGAAGCCCTCTGAGACCAGCACTGGGCTGCTGTAGTCTTCCCAGCATTCTCTTGGATCAGATCGTCCTGGCTTGGGATTTCATTGGTCTTAGTTCAGATTGCCCTGGTGCAGTCAGGACTGTTTTAGCCGAATGTTGATCAATCTGAATTGGTTTTGGGCTGGTTCCGAGACATCAGGTCAAGTCGAGGCCAGTTAAGACTGGTTATGTGCATGTGGGAGCCAGTTTAAATGTCTCTGCATGAGTTTCTTCGGGAGGGTCAGGACGCCCCACAGCGGATCCTATCCCGACTGACCCAGCTCCTCTACAACCTATCGGCCACGGTCTTACAGGGGGTCCCCTTCTCTCCTTTCACAACCTTCAGCCGCAAGAACTCCTGGAGGGACTGGAACGGTGAGAGATCAGAATATCAGTCTGTGTTTGGTGTAGTTGCTTTCAGATGGTTTTGCTGAGGAAACAGGATGGAAATTGCTGACTGCCTCTGTTAGATTAATTCCGTTTTAATACACGTTGTGACGTACTTGAGCAGTTAAAGGAATAGTTCAACCAAAAATGAAACTTATGCCATCATTTACTCACCCTCATGTTATTCCAAACTCATTTGACTTTCCTTCTTCTGAGGAACTACAACATTTTGAAGAATGTAGTACCAGTTGATCTTTTTCATGCAGTTTCAGTAAATGAGAACTGAAACTTTCAGGCTTCAGTAAGGATGCAAAAGTACCTTAAAGGTCTCATAATTACTTAAATTTAGGTTTGTATCTCACAAAAAGTAAAACAACAAACTAACGCACAAGTAATGTGGACTTTATGATACTTACACATATGATACTTTTTTGGTGCCTTTGTGTATTTTTGAAGTTTAAAAACTTCAGTGTCCATTTTTAATAATTGCATGGAAAGGAGTGACCCGCATATTCTTTAAAATATCCCCTTTTGAAATAAAAGTCATACAGGTATGGAGTGACATTAGGACGAGTAAAGGTCTGTTCACACCAAGGCTGACAACTATATAAAGATCAAGTTTTAAAATGGTTCTGATTCTATGGAATTAGAATTGGAATCAATTATACAACAATTTTTTACAGCTAGAAAACAATAAAAACATTAATAGTCAATCAAAGTCCACCTGACTTTAAAGAGCTTAAGCATTTAAAGTGTCAGATGACAGAACTGCAGCTTGCACTTATAATAAACAGAACATTATCTTCCATTAGTGTGGACACTAAAATATCTTTATAGTTCTCATTCTTGTGAACGGGCCTTAAATAAAGTATGGAATGGACGAACTATTCCTTGAACATGGTGTGTCCCCATGGTGTGTGTGTGAAGTTGAGAGGTGGTTTCCTCGTGGGATTTCTCTTACATCATTGAGATGCATGTGGATGGCCCATTGCCCAGATCACATTGACACACATCCTCTCTCTCTCTTTCTCTCTCTTGCTCAGACACTTTGTGCTAAAAGTTTTGTTTTCACAGTAAAACAGTGCGTCTCAGCAGAGAGCTGAACTGGTATATTTAGGGAACACACATGGCATGAGAAACTGATAGACATGGGCAAATAGCATATCATCTCAATTTAAAAAATAATCACACACACATACCCATAACAAACTGAACAATTGCTTTGCTTTGCATAGTACATAGTGGACAGACTAGGGAATACACACACGCTCAAAAACAAGGCACTGACAAGGACAACTTGTGGCAGTATCTGTACTGGAGAGCAGATGTCAGACGTCCTAAAATGTGAGTAAATCTCTGATCTTAATCCGCTCTGTGTCTGCTTCTCGCTCGCAACAGGATGCTGCTTAATCGGAGTGTGTTTTTGTGTGCATTTGCTCTTTGATGTTTAACTTTCTGTGTGTTTAATATGAAACAATTCCCAGCATCCTTGTGATGTTGTCACACTGATTTGTTCTGAATCTGCGCTATGTAGACAAGCTATTTTGGACATCATTATCTGTCATATGCAGATTATCTTTTTAGACTGATCTCAGGCCAGCTTTAGCATGAAGTCTTCAAAGTCTTTTATTATTAGAATATGATGTTTGTACACCACTTCTACCCAAATTGTTCCTTGACTGCCTGTGTGTAGTGGTTTTTTAAGACAAGCATCACTGTTACTATTGGGCATCAGTGTTGTTTTATTATAGTTTTATATGTTTTATTAATATTATGATTTTGTTTTATATATATATATATATATATATATATATATATATATATATATATATATATATATGTGTGTGTGTGTGTGTGTGCCAAAAATACATTGTATGGCTCAAAATTATTTTTCTTTTATGCCAAAAATCATTAGGATATTACGTAAAGATCATGTTCGATGAAGATATTTTGTAAATTTCCTACTGTAAATATATCAAAACTTAATTTTTGATTAGTAATATGCATTGCTAAGAACTTCATTTGGACAACTTTAAAGGCAATTTTCGCAATATTTAGATTTGTTTGCACCCTCAGATTCCAGATTCCAGATTTCCAGATAGTTCCAGATCTCAAATATTTGTATGCCAAATATTGTCTTATCCTAACAAACCATATACATCAATGGAAAGCTTATTTATTCAGCTTTCAGATGATGTATAAATCTCAATTTCATTTTAAGTTTAAAGTTTTATTACATTTGTTGTGGTTTTTTTGTTGTTTTCATTTTTAAAAGTTTTTGTTTTTATAAATGGGTCAATATAATTTTTTTTTTTTTATTTATGGTTTAGTTTGAGTTATTTTAATACATCAAGTTAACATTTGTTGTGGTTTTTTTGTTGTTTTCATTTTTAAAAGTTTTTGTTTTTATAAATGGGTCAATATAATTTTTTTATTTTTATTTATGGTTTAGTTTGAGTTATTTTAATACATCAAGTTATTATTTTCATACATGAAATAATGAAGAAATGTTGCCTTGGCAACTAGCTGAAGTAAAATCACTTTTTAATATTTTATTTTAGTTAACATTTATTTTATTTGAAGTAAAAAGGGTGTTTTTAATAAATCATGGCCACGTGGAGTTCTCTAGTCGGTACGTTGTAATGGTGTCTGGTAATGGTTAACTACACCTGCATGTTTGAGCGGTTTGCGTGAGATCAAAGTATAATGGACAGCAGTTAGAGTGGTGAAGCGGTGCTGGATCCATATATGCCTGTGTTTGTGTTTGCTGTGAGAAGTAAATCCTGATAATCAGAAATGGAAACATTGTGCTGTTTCATCCATGGACCTGGGAGGACACAAACCAGGTACACGCAGACCCTGCAATCAGGTAAATGTGTTTGGTTAATCTTTGAGATCTTGAACTGAGCTCTGAGACTATGAGAAGTATTTCTGACTTGCAGAAATTTTAATGTATAACTCCATATACAAAAATCTTAAATAATATGTAAAATAATTATAACAATTAAAAATACAAAATTAAATTGTAAATATGACAATGGATCAAGCACTGAACAAAAACTGTGAAATTTACCGTAAAACAGCAGCCGTGGTTGCCAGAATTTTACCGTAAAAAAATATAGTTGCAATATTTTAAGCTATGTTTTTTTACTGTACATTTCATTTCAATATTTCATTAACTGAAATAATGTTAATATACAAAATTACTAATATCTGTTTTTACTGTTATGACAACCACCTTAAAACACAAGTGATAAAGAGAAAGCCACATGATGAATCATGAAGTTCATCAAAAACAGCTTTTCCAGAATTAATAGTAATATATAGAAGGTGCTTAAAAATACCATCATGTGTTAACACATGACAAATAATAATAAAATAATGCAATAAACAACAACAAACTATGTAAATTGTTCCATTTGTTTCTTTCTCTTTTTTTCAAAATAATGCATAATGAATCATAATTAAGAACTCCATTACGTTTACTGAAAGAATAGCAAATGTTTCTTCTTTTGTGCATTTATTTGAAAATCTGTTAATAATGCAAATGCATGTGATATTGCCCTAAATCACAGGTGAGATAAGAGTGTAATGTGTTTGTGTACGAGTGCATGTGTGTGCAGAGCCGCTTTGTTGTGGGGCGTTACCTGCATCTGAGATGGGCGTGACAAACAGCGTCACATTCCTGGCTGCAGCACTTACACCTGAGAGAGAAAGATGCAGCGTCACAGAGAGACAGACTGTGATAATTCAGGGAGTGAATATTTGCAATGTGAGGACAGACAGGATGTGACAGTAAAAGGGAGAATGACTGAAGAAGGTAAGAACCGCAGGGCAGACTTAGACCAAGGGAAGCAGGTGAAATGATACTGACGGAGGAGACTGGGACGCACCTCCGGCCCCCAGAGAACTGCAGGAGCTTGGTGAAGATCACTTTAGAGGAAATGGAAAGTTTCTACAGGTTCATTGTTTGCTGTGATGGGCTAATTTGTAAGTTCCTCTTGTGTCATGTGCTGAAAAGATGAGAAGTGTTTGTGTGACACTTTGTTGTTGTTTTTCTCAGCACTTGTATCATGATGCATGATGTTGCTAGCAGTGATGTATCATGGGATGTTTGCAGAGTAATAATACATCTGCCATTTGAATACATGTTGTTAGTATCTGATTGTGTGAACTGCGCTGTTAGATTGAAAAAGCTGAATGTATTTTAAATTCTCTGCATGGATCAAAACAGTTCACTTAAAGGGGTCATATGACATTGCTAAAAAAAAATTATTTTGTGTAATGAAATGTGGTTATGCGGTTTAAGGTTAAAAAAACACATTATTTTCCACATACTGTACATTATTGTTTCTCCTCTATGCCCCGCCTTTCTGAAACGCGTCGATTTTTACAAAGCTCATCGGTCTGAAAAGCGAGGTGTGCTCTGATTGGCCAGCTATCCAGTGCATTGTGATTGGCCGATTACCGATGACGTGTGACGGAATGTTACGCCCATTACCATACTATGACGCCCTTTCCAGCCGGCGCGACAAGACAAAAACATTAAAACCCATTATAAACGAGGCATTTGTTGCATCCAGTGGGGACATAATTATGGAATATAATGACTTATACTGTCATTTTACGTGTTGCGTTGCATCTCGCCGCGGCGCTTAAACATAAAACCATGTCTGCGTTTGTGATATGAGAAATGGCAAACAACAAGCGCTACTCTACACTGCCCAAAACTCGCCGTTTGAATCATCAGTGGCAAATACTTTAAATATAAAAAACGTACTTACGGTCTGTGAGT